TAGAACGGATAAACCCCGCCCCCATGAGTCTTAGCCCCGCCCCCCGAAGAAGTAGCCACGCCCACTTCACCAGCGCCCCCTTCCATCCATGACCCCGCCCCCTTCCTGTTGTCACCCCACTCCTTCCTGTTGTGACCCCGCCCCCTTCCTGTTGCACCTCCACCTCCTCCCACCCAAGCCCTGACCCACTTCCTTTATTGGCCCCGCCCCTTCCTGTTGTGACCCCGCCCCCTTCCTCTTGCACCTCCACCTCCTCCTATCCATGCCCTTACCCACTTCCTTTACTGGCCCCGCCCCTTCTTGTTGTGGCCCCACCCCTTCCTGTTGCATTTCTACCTCCTCCCATCCATGGCCCCACCCCCTTTCTTCATTGGCCCCGCCCCTTCCTGTTGTGACCCCACCACTTCCTGTTTCACTTCCACCTCCTCCCCTCTATGGCCCCACCTCCTTCTTCCACTGGCCCTGCCCCTTCCTGCTTTGACCCCGCCCCTTCCTGCGGCACTTCCACCTCCTCCCATCCATTGCCACACCTCCTTCCTTCATTGCCCCGCCCCTTCCACCCACGGCCCCGCCGTTTCCTGTTTTGACCCCACCACTTCCTGTTTCACTTCCACCTCCTCCCACCCAAGCCCTGACCCACTTCCTTTGTTGGCCCCGCCCCTTCCTGCCGAGGCCCCGCCCCTTCCTTTCACTCACCCAGCCCGACCCTCTTGTTGTAGTCGCACAGAGTCCGGAAGTTGTTCCACCTGCAAAACCCCCCAAAATCCTCATTTTCTCCCCCAAACCTCGTTACGCCCCCACCCCCCTCCCCAATTAACTAATTAACTAACGACCCACCAGTGCCACGTCCGCTCCTCCTGCCGCCCGTCGCCCTCGTTAACCAGCTGCTCGTTAACGATGGCGTCCTCACGCCCGTCCTCGGGGGCCAGCAGCGGCACACGCACCCACACCTGCGCCAATTAACGCCAATTAACGCCAATTAACGACCATCAGATACCAATTAAGCCCCAGCTGGCCCTTCAGCCCCCAATTAAAACCCGACCGAACCTTAATTAAACCCCATTAAGACTTAATTAAACCCCATTATGGCCCATTAAGGTCCTACGAAACCTGACTGAGAGTCATCCAGCCTTAATTAAATGCTAATGAGACTCATTAAGCGCCATTAACACCCATCAAGGCCCAAGCATACCTCATTAAATGCTGTTAAACTCTAATTAAACTCTAATTAAACTCTCAGACTCAACCAAACCCCATTAGCACCTATTAAGACTTAATTGAACCACATTAAAACTCATTGAGCTTCAACTAAACCTAATTAAGGCATGTCAAACCTTATTAAGACTTAATTAAACCTCATTAAGACCCCACCAAACCCCATTAAGCCTGAATTAAGACTTAATTAAGCTTAATTAACCCCCCTACTCACCCATTAAACTCCATTAACACCCATCAAGCTTCAACTAAACCTAATTAAGACACATTAGACCCTATTAAGACTCAATTAAACCTCACTAAGCCCCCCACCAAACCCCGTTAAGTCTCAATTAAGCCTTAATTAACCCTAATTAACCCCCATACTCACCGCAGCCCCAAATTTCAGACCCGCAGACCCATTAAGCCCCAATTAACCCCCATTAAGCCCCACTTAAACCCCATTCAACCCCATTTAACCCCACCAAAACCCCATTAAACCCCACTAAAACCCCACTAAGCCC